CCCCCCTCTCTTTCCCCTCTCTCTCTCTCCTTCCCCCCTGCCCTTGACGCACCCACCCGACAAGGTCGATGAAGACGTCCTGGTGGAATCTCTGTCTGAAGTCGAGTGCGAGCTCGGCGACGAAGGTGACGGCCTCGGGGTCGTCGGCGTTGACGTGGAAGATGGGCGCGTCGATGGACTTGGCGAGGTCGGTGCAGTACTTGCCGCTGCTGCTGTCGACGGGGTATGTCGTGAAGCCGATCTGGTTGTTGGCCACGATGTGAATCGTGCCGCCCACTGACACACAGACACAACCAACACAAGAGAGATAGGATGCTATGCTCTCTGTGTCCGCCCACATGCCCAGCCGCCCATTCACTCACCGGAGTAGTTGGGGAGCTTTGACATCTGGACGGTCTCGTAGACGACCCCCTGGCCGGCGAATGACGCATCGCCGTGCAGCACGATCGGCAGCACCTTGTCACGGTTGGTGTCGCCCGAGAAGTACTGCTGCGCGCGCGCCTGGCCGGCCACGAGCGGGTTGACGGCCTCCAGGTGCGATGGGTTGGCAAGGATGCCCATGTGGATGTACCTGCCGACAAACACACACACAAGACACATCGGTGGGGTGGATGGCTGCACGTCTCGTGTGTGGGTGGCTGTGTGGGTGGAGGCTGTGCGTACCGTCCAGAGTCCTGGTCCCAGTGATCGTACTCGATGCCAAGGTGGTACTTGACGTCGCCGGTGTTGCCCCACTCGGTGCCGCCGAATCCCGTGACGCCCTGGAACTCGCCCATCATCTGCTGCATCGGCTTATGCATGACGTTCATCAGCATGTTGAGACGGCCCCGGTGCGGCATCCCCAACACAATCGCGTCCACACCGTCCTTTGACGCCTTCTTCACTACCGCCTGACACAGACAGACAGACAGACGAGAGCTCTGTGGCCGCTCTGTGGGTCGTTCTTCTTTCGAGCTGGCAGGCTGACCTTCATGCCGACGATGAGGGTCTCGCAGCCGTCAAGGCCGAATCGCTTTGAGGTTGAGAATTTGGTTGCGCAGAAGTTCTCGAAAAGCTGTGCGCGTGCGGTGCGAACGAAGATCTTCTTGCGCAGCTCAGGGGACATCTGGTACTTGGTGGGCGTCTCCACCGCCTGACGGACAAAGTTGCAAACCTGCTGGTCTGACACACACACACACACACACACGATGCACTTGATTGAAGTACGAACCTGCCCCTCCCTCTCTCTGTGTGTGTGTGTGTGACCTGAGATGTGCATATATTCGATTCCCACGGGCCCGCAGTAGGTCTCCTCCAGCCGCTGCACAATCTCCCTCAGTGTCCGGGGGGACCGCTCGGGCGATAGGAATCCGCTCATGGCCGGCACACGGCAGTCATAGACCTTGTCCAGGTCGGCCTCTGTGAAGCCGTAGTACTTGTACCCGATGCCCATGGGCCCCTCGGTGCGCGCCACACTCGTGTAGGGCGGCCGGCGGGGCTGACCCAAGGGGTCGATGTTGGCCAGCTCGTGGCCCCTACTCTGATACCCCCGCACCATCTGGATGATCCGCGATGTGTCGTGGACCGTCTGGGTGACGCCCGAGAGCTCCTCAGGGCTCATGAGGCTGCCGGCTGATGGGAGCGTGCCCACGGCGTGTGGGAAGACGGTCGTTGCGGGGGCGGGGGTCGGCAGGGGGTGTGGCGGCATCTGCATCTGCATGGGCGCTCCGGCCACCGTGACGGAGGGCGGGGCGACGAATGCCTGGCCTGATGGGACGCCGTTGGCGACGTTAGTGAAGTAGGCGTGCCACGAGGCGTGCACCGAGGTGTTGTCCTTCTTCCACTGCTCGTACATCTGCTCGATGTAGGGGCTGCTCTCGCCGACCAGAAAACTCTGAACACACACCCGCACACACACACGCACACGCGCAAGGACAGATGCAGCGATGATTGTGTCGTGTGTTGCCGTGGCAGACAGGCGCACCTCGGCAGCCAGGGCGCTTTGGAAGCGAGGCCGAGTCGTGGTGATGAAACGGCCCTGGAGAACTGATACATAGGCCATGGCTGGCAGGCCGCTCAGCCGCTTGAAATGCGGCGCCAGATGCTTCGAACACTGCAGCATCTTGGTCAATCAGCCACAGGCCCAGAGATAAGACGGACAAACGGGGATCGCCTCAGCTTCCCCCTCTCCCTTAGCTCGCAGTCCTCCTTCCCTTTCGAAATCGTGTTCGTTCTAAGACCGTAATGCTGGCTCTGTAACGAGGCAACACAACAGAATCGGCGGAAGAAAATGGCCAATAACAGCTTTGACCATTATGCTGACCCGGAGAGGGAGAGCTTGGCGTACGTCCCTGTGTCGAGTTGGCGCGGCAACGAGGCTCTCCGGCGTAGGGGAGAGGGAGAGGGAGGGCCTGTGGCCCTGGCCGATGCCCCCCCGTCCTTTGCGGTCTTCGCCGCCTCGGACGACCAGCTGGCGGCCATGCTGCGGGAAATAACGCCCAACGAGGAGGAGAGGAGGAAGAAGAAGACACTCATGGACTCCCTCAAGGCATTCATCTCCCACACACTCGGTACAAACCACGAAACAGCCAGACAGCCGACCGAAAGACAGCCTCATAACCTCCCGCCCACCCGCCCTTTCACACACACGATTTCGAATCAGCGCGTGGCGTGCACTGTGTGTGCCTGCCTGCCTGCCTGCCTGCCTGCCTGTGTGTGTGGGTCTGTCTGTCTGTCATGTCAGGGGAGAGTGCTCAGCTGGAGTTGGCGGGCTCGACGGCCTGGGACGTGGAGACCCGCTACAGCGACCTGGACGTGGTGATCCGCGTGGAGCACAGCGACACCAAGAACGTGCTGCAGGCCATCAGCACCGGTCTGCGGCAGCTGCGGGAGCACACCCATGACTACCCCCCGTCGCACCCTTTCTTCGTCCTCAAGGACTGCGAGTTGCAGCTGGTCGAGTCGGCCAAGGTGCCCATCATCAGCATTCGCGCCGTGTCACTCACCGTCGTGTGCGACCTGTCCGTCAACACCGAAAACTCCATCAGACACACGGAGTTCTTCGGAGAGGTCGGTCGGAGCGAAACAGACAGGGGGCATGGCATGGAATGCATCGGCTGGCAATGAGTGTGTGTATCGGTGTGTGGCGGGTGCCTTGTGTGTGTGTGTGTGAATGAAAGGTTGTTGAGAAGCGGCCCCACTTGAAATCGGTGATGCGGCTGCTCAAGTACTGGGTGAAGGCAAGGCGGCTCCCCGCCATGCGCGACGGCGGCCTGCCGTCCATCTGCTGGACGCTCCTCACCGTCTGGAATGACAACTTCGAGACACTGGACCTCCCACCGCCACTCGACCGAATGGCGGTCCTCCACTCGTCCGTCTCGGCCTCTCTAGTGTCGCTCTTCCGCCGCCTGTGCGACAGAAAGCGGCTCTCCCAGACCATATCGGTGACCCAGCGGTGCTCGACCGAGAAGAACGGTACTGAGGTGGCGGCCCGAATCCTGGGGCCTCAGTGTCACGGCGGCGTGTGGGATGAGCTGTTGACGATAGAGGATCCGGCGGGCAAGGGCGGCGGGGGGACGGGGGAGCCGCCACTGGACCTGGCGGGGAAGGTCAGCTCAGCGACGTGGCTGCTGTACCAGTGGGAGATTGGTCGGGCCAACCGGATTTTCGACATGGGTATGCGGAGCGGGCGTGTCAACATGGCGACGGTGGTGCAGGATTCCAACCTTTACCTCATCCCCGCGTCGATAGAGCCTCCACCGGCCGACTGGCCGGGGCTGTTTGGGGTGGCGCTGATTGAGGGCAACCTGCTGGTGGTGCAGGTGGTCAGGCTGTGTCCTGACTGGGACTCCTGGTGGAGCAAAGACTTCCTCAGCAGAAGAGACATCAGGTACTTAGGTCAACACACACACCGAATCGACACACCGACAGGCACCAGGGACGAGTGTGCACCACCATACCATACACACACCTGCATCCATCCCCTGTGTGTGCCTCTGTGTGTGTGCGCGTGTTGTGTTGCAGGTCTGTGATTCACGGGCTGCCTCATGGGTTGCGCCCCCGCTACTCTCACGAGCACTCCGAGGCCGACCTCATCCCGCTGGCCTGCAGGGACCCCGACGCCACACACGTCCTCTTCAACCCCTGCCAGTTCGTGTGCCGCCTCATGGTCACCGCCACAACCACCACCGCCAGGTCCTACATGCTGCCGTCCGATGAGGTGCGCCGGCTGGACGAGCTGACCCGTCTGGCGTCCAAGGCGCCTTACTGGCACACCAATGTTGAGGAGATGTGGAAGAAGATCGCGGTCAAGGCGCCGATCCAGCCCTTGACGCGATGGTGCAAGCACTGCGAGACCCACGGCCTCAAGACGGTCAATGACATCATCCCCCTCTCGCCCTACTCGCCGCCCATGAAGCTGCCCGAGCCGCCCATGCCCCTGATGCCCACAGCAGCTGCAGACACCAACACTCGCACGATCATTATCCCCCCTCCGCAGCCACAGCCGCCACAGCCGCCGCCGCCCCCGCCACCACCCAGGGAGACCCCCGACGAGGGTGCCACGGTGCGGAGACTGTCTGACAGCGACCTGCGAGCCGACGACAGTGCGGCCAACTCGCACGTGTCCTCCAGGGCCGTGACGGCGGCATCGTCTCCGCTGCCATCTCTGGCTGCGTCGGCGACCGAAGGACGGCCGGGAGAGGGAGGGGGCGACGTGGCCGCGGGGGGCTCGACGTCTGCCGTCCTGCACGGGGGGGTCGGAGGCAGCGGCAAGTCTGCGCCGTCCAGCAGCAACAGCAGCAGCAGTGATGGTGGAGCTAATGGGACTGGCCATGTGGGCCGCCCCCCTGTGCAGCAGCAGCAGCAGCAGCAGATGATGATGGGCCCCGCCATTATGTCTCAGCAGCAGCAGCAGCAACATCAGCAGCATCAGCAGCAGCAGGCAGCTGTGGCTGCTGCCGGTCTCTACAGCGCGCTGCACGCGTCTCTGCCGCAGAGCACCACCGCCCAGGGGGCCCCTGGTGCTGTGTCGGGCCAGACACATGGCAGCCAGCACGACAGTCAGTTCCGGTTGGTGCACACCATCTTTGAGCACATCAAGAACATGCCCGGCTTCGAGCACCTCAAGCACATGCCTGGCATCGACTTCACGTCAGCCTTCGGCTTCATGCAGTTTTTGAACAACACACACAGGCACCAGCAGCAGCAGCAGCACCAGCAATCACAGCAGCAGCCACAAGGCAGCAGCAGCAGCAGCAGCAGCAGCGGCGTGGGCTTGGCCAAGCCCCCGCCGACGCCATCGCACCACAACCAGCAGCCGGACTCACAGATGACCTCTCAGATGACCACCCCGGCACCGTCCACACCAGCTCTGTCCTTAGTCAAGCCCCATCCACATGACGGCTACCAGCAGCAGCAACAGCAAAGGCCCTCGGCTGATCGCATGGTCCCACGGCAGCCGCCCGGCGTCCTTCCTGATCCGTCCCCATCGCCAGCGCCCTACCAGCGTGTGCCGTCTCCTTCTTCATTTCACCAGGAGCATGATGGCGCCAGATATGGTGGCCGTGGGCGGGGTCTGGGCGTGCAGGGGGCGTCGCAGCATCCCGCCCCGCCGCCGCCACCGGATGTGCACCCCTACCATCACCCATCGCCCGCCATGCAGACACAGCAGCCGCACGGCTCAAGTTACCACAGGCCCCCGCCTCCGTCAGATCAGCACCAGCATCAGCAGCAGCAACCACCGCCCCCCGTGAGCCACGTGTCCAAGGTTAACGGCGTGAGAGCGATGCAGCAGGGTGGAAAGAATCCGCTGATGCCCACCCCGCAGTCGATTCCGTCGCCCTACTACGCTGCCCACGCCAAGTACCCGGCCGCGCGGATCAACCACTACGGCGACATGAAGGGAGCAGGGGGAGGCGGACGGTACCCTGGCGAGAATAATGGAAACGGGAGACCTCTGCAGCCTGTTGATGGTACGCAGCGACGCCAGAGAGGAACGGGTCATTCATTTCTCGTCGGTCGGTCGGTCCATCCCTCTATCCTTCCTTTTGTCTCTGTTTGTGCGTGGCGCGTGGCGTGAGCAGGCATGGCTATGGCTGGGGGTGGCCAGCAGCCGCCGCAGCAGCACCAGCGTTATGCGTCGAGCCACATGTCGTCGAACCACCGACAGCGCTCCCCTCCCCAGAAGGCCGTGACCACCCCTCAGCTGCCGCCGCGCACCCCCAACCCCGCCACCCTGCCGTCGACCCACTACCACCACCACCCCCACCATCAGCTGTCGCACAGCCAGAGCCCCTTCTCGGCTCACCACAACCACACCCACAACCACTACGTCCACACACCATCCCGCGAGAAATCGCACGACCGCGTTTCGTCGCTCGCGACGGGCGGCGGCACGCGGGCGTCGTCCTCGACGATGCAAGCGGCCGCTGCTGCTGCTCACTCCATGTACCCACACAGGTCGACACTCGCTGTGTCGGCTCCACTGGCGGCGTCATATCGGCAGGGGATTGTTCCCTCCTCACACACACAACACGGCGAGGCACCAGCCTTTGGGCGGGGTTCTGCGGCAGCGGACAGCCTGCATGCCGTTATGGCGATTGGTGTGGGCATGGGTGAGGAGCACCACCGATCGATGAGCCAATCGGGGGTGCCGTCGTCTCACGAGAGAGAGAGGAGGGCGTTGGGGGGCGGCAGCCGCACCCGCGGGATCGCAAACGCGCCGATGCCCTCCTCGTCGGTGCAATCGGCGTCGACGCGCAGAGACGACATCACGGACCCCATGCGGCCCCTCATCGCCCACACACCGCACCAGCCGCTCACACAGCCCCACCGCCAGATGTCGGGGGACTCGTCGCCCATCGCACAGATGCGGGCCCTTTCGACCGGCTTGCTGCCCGCCCCCGACACGCACACCCCCCACCACCAGGCCATCATCTACTTGGACGACAGGCAGGCCGCTGCACCGCCACCGCATCAGCCCAGGCGTCAGCACCAGCAGCACCCGCCTCGGCTGGAGGCCATCGCGCAGTGGGAGTACAGCCCGGACGGCAGGCTCGCCGTCGACATGGACGGCGCTCCCTCAGTCGACAGCTCGCCTGCGGCTGCCAGTGCTGCTGCTGTTGCTGCTCACCGTGCGTGGCCCTTTGGATCGGGCAATGGCAGCCCAAGGGAGAGGGAGAGGGAGAGGGGGCCGCCGGCCACACGACCCCGACAGCCACAGGCTGGCCATCCGAGCGATCAAGTCCCGTCTGGGGGCAGGATGCCGACACAGAGGGCGGATGAGGCAATGGTGGTGCCGCCTCTTGTGAGCATCGTGGCCGCCCACCATCAGCACCAGCAGCAGCAGCAGCCATACCCCCACCCCCATCAGGTGCCGGTGGCCTCCCCCGCCCCTGCCCGCTTCACGCAGGAGGTGCAGACGGACCCAGACGTGGAGCAAGCCAGCTCCGACGAGAGGGAGAGAGAGGACAACGGCGTGGCGACGGACGGTTTGAACGGTTTGGACGGTAAGCACGAGCAGCACTTCGAGCCACTGCCGCCCCCAGTGGTCATGCCTGAGCCTGAGTGCCCCAATGCGATGCAAGCAGAGGAGCCGCAACAGGAGAGGGAGGTGCCTGTGCCTGTGCGTGTGGCTGTGGCTGTGGCTGTGGACAACGAGGTTATGACAAGAGAGCGGTTCCGGCGTGGCAAAGAGAATCAGCCAGCGGTGGATGAGGCCCGTGGTGGTGGTGGTGGTGTTTCAAGATCGACGCAAGGCTCGCCAGTCCCTGCTGCTGCACCCGCCCCAGCACCCGCCGCAGCCCCCGCCCCCCCACAAGCACTTGAGCAGCCATCTTCGTCTGCGTCAGCATCAGCTGTAGTTGACCACCATCGCATGGCCCCTGAGACGGACGTGCCCATCCCCGCCAGCCAGAAGCCTTCTGAGCCGCCAGCAGTCAAGGAGACCCCGCCGGCTGTCCAGAGCAAGCCGTCAGCAGCACCAGATGCCATGGACAGCCCCCAGCTTTCGTACAAGGGCCCGCGTGGCGATCGCGAGCAGCGGCGCAGAGAGCCCAAGAGGCGCGGGTCGCTGAGGAGTGAGCTGGAGGCCGACGTAATCATCGTGCCTGTCAGGAGGCAGCAGCCACAGGGGGGCAGGAGGGACGCCAGCCAGTCGATCGACGGGGAGTCGCCGTCGGTGCCGGAGAGTCCCAGCAGCAAGAGGTGGGTCCCCGTGGCCACGGCAAGGGAGGCGACATCGCAGCAGCACAAGGAGGAGAGGGGCAACATGGACCGACAGGACAGCACTGCCAGCAGCACCAGGGGGGACGGCAAGGCCAAGAGCGGCTCAGGAGGCTCTCGTGTGCCGCCTCCCCCCGCCCACCCGCCCCCCTCCCCGTCCGACGACGGCCCCAATGAGAGCCTCAGCCCACGACACCCGCACCTCGCACACCCACGGGCAGATCGCAATGACCACCACCACAACCACCACCACCATGACACGGACCGTGGCGACCATCGAGGGAGGGGCGAGGGGCTGCCGGTGCCGAGATACCAGCCCAAGACTGCGTGGAAGCCCACCGCCGGCTCGTCCGTTCCGCAAGCTCCGGCCCGGCCGTCGAGTGGGGCGGGTCGGGGGCTGTTCCCCAAGCACAGGAGGGGTGTGGAGGATCGCGAGATGCCGTCCGTAGGCGCATCGCCACCTATGTCTCAGTCCCCCCCGCCCATCGTCGACCGACAGCAGCGTCCCACAAGAGACGAGAACCGAGTAGTCCAGCAGCGGACCGAAGAGCCACAGGAGAGGGAGAGGGGTAAGAAGGCCGGCGGCGACACCACCGGCAAGCAGCAGCAGCAGCCGCAGCCGCAACAGGAGAAAGAGAGCCGCGAGCGTGAGCATCCGGAGCGTCAGCTTTCGGCCCCCCTCGCCGCCTTCGTGCCGGCGTCGCTCGCTCCCGCCGGCCCGCAGACGTCATGGGCGCCGTCGATCGGCAGGAAACAGCCAGACGAGTCGGCCGATCGCCCGAGGCCGAAGATAGCCACTGTGGGTGTCATCCACACCGCTCTGGCAGGAGGCAGACCGCGCGAAGGCACGCAGCAAGGCAGTGCCGGTGAAGGTCGGCAGCGTCGCGAGAGGCCGGGGGGAGGAAAACGCGATGGAGGGGGAGGGGGACACAAGAGGTCCGACGCCTCTCAAGACAATATCAATACCAATGAGGAAGCCAACGACGCTTCTTCTGCTTCTGCTTCTGCGGCTGCTGCGTCATCATCGTCTACTCAGCCAGCGCCGGCAGAGTCCCCGCCTGAGGCAACATCGCCAACCCCAGCGCCCGCTGTCCGTCGCGAAGGCCCAAAGTCGCAGCAGCACCGTGAGACCGGATCAACCTCCAGCCCCGCGGTTCCCACCGAGCCCCCATCCGAGCAGCCGACCAGTCGGCACGTCGGCAAAGGGAAACGGGCCAGCGGCGATCAGACGGGCGGGACGGATGGGCCCCACGATCGAGATGAGAGGGAGAGGCCGCCGACGAGGGAGAAGCCTCAGGGTCGGGGCAAGGAGAGAACCAGTGACGCCGGGAAGGACAGTGGGCCAGGAGGGGGCAACCGCAGGCGCGAGAGGGAAAGGGAGAAGGACAAGGAGAGGGACAAGGAGAGGGACAGGGAGGGGGGCAACCATCACCTCAACCATGTGTCAGCACCATCAGGACCATCGTCGTCATCTGCAGCACCGACACCAGCCCCCCAAGCACCCCCAGCAGCAGCGGCGGCAGCTGTGGTCAGCCCCCCCAAGGCAGAGGAGAGGCTACCCAGCCCGCCGCCCACTCTCAGGAGCGCCACCGAGCCACTCGACCGAGCCGACAACAGCAGTCAGGACAATGCCGGGAAGCCCACTCGGGTGCGGGTGCCTGGTCGTCTGTTTTCGCTGGCGATTGGTGGGCTGCAACGGAAGCAGTCTGCCGGCGGGCCGGGTGGAGATGGCAGCGAGGCAGGCAGCAAAGAGTGAGGGATGACGGGGCGATGGGGGGATGAAGGGATGGGATGGGATGGCGGGGTTGCATGGTCTGGTCTGTTGACTGGGTGACGATTGATTGGCTGGCTGGCTGACAGGAAGGGAAGGCAGGCTATCCAGATCTGGAGTGCATTTATCTCGTATATTACTTGCTGGTGGGTTCCAAGTATACCTGTGTGTCTGACTGGCATGCATATACATATGGCTGCCTGTGGTGTACACGACACAGCACAGCACAGCACCGCACGACGTGCAGCACACACACACGTGACAAGTGACGGAGTGGAGTGAGTGGAGTGGTTTTTCGTGGCCTCACGGGCGTGTGTTTGTATGTGGGCTGCAGAGAAATGACTCACTGGACCGAACTATGTGTCCGTCACACATCATTCGTCAAGACGAGCTTCGCATGCATGTGTGGCGTCCACTCAAACCTTGAGCGTCGATCTGCGAGCTCTGACGGAGGAAGGCCGTTCTTTCGTTCCTTCGTTCTGTCCGGGTCACCGTGACGGCATCTTCATCGCTGGTGAGTCAGCTGGAAGCCATCGCCAAGCAGCTGCACGAGGCCTCGCCGCACACCGACCCAGATGTGGACAAGCTCCTCGACAAGCTCAGCAACCTCGTCCACCTCGAAAAAGACGATGCTATCGGTGTGGGAGGTGCAAGAATGAAGAAGATCCTGGCGCCGCTCGCCAAGGGCAAGAAGCCGCTGCACCAGCCGGTGCTTTCCATCATCCAGGTATGTACGGTACGACGCAGCAACGGAATGAGTGGATGGCCTGTGGATGTGATGTGGCTCATGCGGTGCTTGCAGGCTGCGAGCAGTCGTTCGTGCCGTGAGGCGGCCGCCATCGCCTTCTCGAAGCTCCTCATCGCCGGCTACCCCTTCTGCTTCGAGTCGCAGCCGGCCGTGGTCAAGCGGCTGCTGGCGGCCCTGGAGCAGATCCTGCCTGACTCGACTCAATTCACTGATGTGGACGAGGCCATCTACACGATCCTGCTGTCGGCCACCACCAGCAACACAATCGGCGGTATACCCCTGTCGCTGCGGGACGTCAAGAGCGTCTTTCAACGACAGGGCCCCGACTACCGCGAGGTCATTTTGGCCAAGCACACGGCCTTCCTGACCCGCGCCGAGATGCTTGTGCGCTACCCACCGCAGATGAACCAAGGTGAGTGAATGGATGGATGGATGGATGGCGGATGGATTGGATGGATTGGATGGATTGGATGGATTGGATGCCCGTGCAGCCTTCCACTTCTACCTGACTTTCTCCCAGCACGTGGCGCCCTCGATGTGCCCCGTGGCCATGTGGATGCGGCTGCTGAGCGTGGCCACCGACGAGCAGCTGCCAATCGTGTGGCGGGCGTCATGCCGCATGCCCTTCCATCTGCTGGCGGAAATGGTGGCCGGCTCGGCCCGGACCACTGTGGAGCGGAACATCGACGCTGCTGTGCAACTCGGTGTGTTGCCTTGCCGCACCAAAGGAATACCTGCATGTGGGTGTGGTGTGTTTGGTGACGGGTGTGTGTGCCCTGCCCTGTGTGTTGTGTTGCCCTCTGGTCGCTTCAAGGAGGTGTTTTCGTCCATAGAGGAGCTGCTGGTGCCGCGAGTGGGCCGGCTGGTGGAGGTGCTCACGAGCAGCAAGGAGGACAGCACGAAGCGGCTGGCGATGAGTCTGATCGGCTGCGTCTTCCGCTGCGCCCACCTGCCCCACAACCAGCATCCTACAAAGGACAAACTCATTCTCGTCGACAAAGGTACAGCGGCTTTCGCAACGACCGCCCGCATCTGGGCGTTTCCTTCGGTGGTCTCATTGCATATCAGTGTTGCGCGAGCCGGTGCGTGTGTTGGTGTCGGACGGTTCGGCCCTTAAGACCATGGCCACACTGCTCGGCGCAACGGACAGCGGCGGCATCCTGGACAACCCCCTGCTGATGATCACGCCGAAGGGCTTCTGCAACAAGATCAACATGGACATCTTCATGCCGGTGTGCGTCGCCATGCACCTGTCAGGTACACGCATACATTCATTCATTCATTCATTCGCGCGTGTGCGTGTGCATGGCGGTCTGCCTGTTGTGTATGACGATCAGATTCGTCCCTCGATCGTGCTCGAGAGCACACTGCTGCCCTTGTGGAGGCCGGCTGGGTGCAGGCGGTCCTCCACATCCTGCAAGACGACCAGCTGGTGCGTGAGCAGTCCTTCTCGGAGAGCCATGCGCTCCGGGCGTGCCTCCATCTGCTATACAACATGGCTCAGATCAACGAAAAGGTCTGCTTCCATATGCCTTTTGCGATTGTCCATTTGTGGACGTCTGGCTGGCTGGCTGGCTGGCTGGCTGTCAGGTAGCGTGTGACAAGTCGATCGCGGGCGCTGTGTGTGACCTGATGGCCAAGCATGCCCGGGGCGACATCCAGATAGCGGACGAAGAGGTCTTCGATATCATGATGTCCATTCTCAGCGAGTTCGTGGGGTGAGCCAAGGACGATGGATGCGCGGCGGGCCGCATGAGTGTGTGCATGTGTGTTTGCAGATACGGCGACCGTCAGATGGAGCGCAAGAAGATCGCCACCAATGTCTTCCGCATCTGGCTGTTCAGGGTGAGTGAACCAGGCAGCCACAGAGACACACAGAGACACACAGAGACAGACAGACAGACAGACGGGCCCTCTGTGTGTCTGTATGTGGCTGCAGCTCGATTCTGTGAAGGAGCTGATGGCCCTGCCACGCGACGGGAGGAGGCTTCCCACTGATTTGAGCTCTAGATCTGGCAACCAGCCAGTGGGTCAACATGTGCGTCCACCTGTGCTGCTCGCTGTAGGTGTTTACGATGTGGGATTGTATGTACGAGCAGCCTGACACGTTCAGTGTCGTCTGCAAAGTGCAGGACATCGTCAACGGAAAAGCAAAGGCATAGGTGCGGTTTTGAGGCCTGTCAATCTTGGCCGGATGGGTCTTTGTGTGGTGTGGTGCAATGCCATGTGGCGAGTGCATTTATAGAGCTGCTGCTGCTGCTGCTGCATGATATATATACTGTGGTTGGCTGGCTGGCTGGCTCATTTATGGACATCGTTTATACATATACATCTCCCTGCCGACTCCCTGGTCGATCATCGCGAGCTTTGGGGGAGGTCGCTCCTTCAACAACCTCGCCCCAATTGATTCCACAGAATGATGCAGATTTGGTGAATAATGTCGGAGCCGTCATCTTCGTCCAGCGAAGCGCCCGATGGACCGTCATCGGCTGCGACGACCAGACGGAGTGCACAAGAGCAAAGCGCGATGGACAGAGGAGGTGCAGCATCGATGGCGGACACACATGGATGAATCACACGTGTATGGCTGCAGGCAGACACGACGCGGGCTCGGCGTCCGCGGCAGCGGCCTCAAATGAGGAGGAGACTGACCGCTTCCGAAGCTGGTACATGGCCCAGGGCTGGCCCCTGACCATCCGGACATCGCAATCAAGTCCAACTGCTGCAAATGGCGACAGAAGCGTTTGCGCGATCAGAAAGAGACAGAGACGGGGACAAGACGGAGGGCATTTGCACTTAAAGTGCGTGTGTTCAGATGCCTGGCGAGTTCAGGAGGGATGAGGTCATCATCCAAAGGGGCAACACGCCAGACGGAGACTTCATCAACAACGCTGCGCCGTGCCCCGAGTGTCCTGGCGTCCTGTTGACTGAGCCACAGCGCTCTTTCTGCGTGGGGTCCCAGGACTGGGCCAACAGGGAGCAAGAGCTGCGAGACGAAGAGGAAGAGAGAGAGCTGGCCACCATCCTGGAGAGCCTGGGTATGCAAGCAAAGCGTCATGGTGTGTGACATTTATTGATTTCTGTGACATTTATTGATTGCTGCGTGTCATATAGATTCCGAAGAGCTGCAGTCGACGTCTCGAGAGTTCGAGTGCATGATATGCCGGGATGACAGACATGTCGGGGAGTCCACCGAGATGGACTGCGGCCATCGCATCTGCAAGTAAATGAGAAGAGAGACACGGACGCACTAAACTACTGGGTGGGAATGACGTTCCATCCCGCCAGTGACTGTTTCGCCCGATATGTGAAGTCAAAGGTCGACGAGGCGAAGGTCTCAAGTAGGTGTCATTCTTATTGCACGCACTGAGAGCATGGCCGTAGCAAGTTGTGTCTCCCCTGATCGCAGCGACTGAGCTGAGGTGTCCCGGCTTCGACTCTGATGGGCAGCCGTGTGCAATGGTAAACGGACACAGAGCGGCGGAGGCCCTTGCATCCTTTGTCTGTCGTCTGTGCGTTCAGGGCCTGAGCGTGCCGCAGATAATGGGGGCCCTGTGTGCCGCAGACCGAGAGAAATACCTCCGATATCGGTGCAAATGCTTGGACGCACCCTCTCTGCAGCAATTACGTCTGTTATTTGCAGCTTTGATCAGTGGGAGCCACTGGACGAAGGCGAGATAAAAGTGTAAGCTTAAAGGACGCGCATTATGAGAGACGAAATGGCTGGAGTGTCCTCTGAATGTGATGCAGCACGTGCCCTGCTCCCAATTGTGCCACGTTCATCATCGACAAAACACTGAAGAAGGTCTGCACTCGTGGCAAGGGAGAAAAACACAGGTACACTGCTGCGCTGTGTCCATTGATTATCAGGTGAAATATCCGAAATGCAACAAGGAGTTCTGTCCCCACTGCTCGGAGAACGTAACTTAGGAATGGACAGATAACTGCATACCAGCACTGTACGTCTTCATGTAGGCCCATGATGGCACGTGCGAGCAATACCAGCAGTGGAAGCTGGACAACAATCATGGAGAGCAGGCCTTCAACCGGATTGCGGCACCGGAGAGATGGAAGGTACGGACGAGTGCTTGCTTTAGCTTAGAAGCCATACAAGCGACGTTGCTTTGAGTGCAGAGGTGCCCCGAGTGTGGCGTGATGGTGGAGAAAGAAGCAGGCTGCAATTTCATGACATGCGATGTGCGAAGTGCTTTAGTTGCACCCACATGCAGCTGTGGCTGGCATTCTGTGTGTCTGCAGTCACGACAGTGTATGGCCCGAGGGGGTACGTACTTCTGCTACCTATGCGGGCAGCGGCTCACACAGGATGAGGTGAGACAGCGAGACGCACCTCAAACGCACAATGGCCGGCAACACATGCACACGCCTTTCAACACTTCAATCATTTCGGCGTCAATGGCCCACTCGGGGACGGCTGCGTCAACGAGCAGAACCGTGGGCGAGGTGCGCCGACTGACGACTCACATGCCTTCTCCTAAGGAGGGCCTCATTGTTGTCACTTTTCGTGTTTTTTGTCAGGGCGCCCCTATGTTGACCCAGATGCCCCGATTCGACAAGACCATGGCAACGTGGCCCCCGCGGCTGCGCCAAGACCTGCCTTGCCCGCCATTCCTCGAGCCGCTGCCGCCGCAGCTGCGGCAGCTGTGATGCCGCCCATGGCTGTCCCTCCACAGCCCTTCATTCCTCCCATCGCCATCCCGCCTATCGCTGCGCCTGCACCGCCTGCCATCATCGTCGCACATGCTCATCTGCCAGTCCAAGCCGCACCTGCTCTCCTTCCCCTCCCACCCAATTGGGGAGTCGCTGGATTTCCTCGTCCGCGGCAGCCGACTCCTCAATTTGGGCCCGTCGCCCCGCCCGCACCTCCACCGCCACTCCAACTCAACGTACGTCTGCACTTGTCTACCTACCTACATAGCTATCCATCCGCTCGACCTTGGCACATGCGAATGCTTGTGTCTCTTCAGGTGGCAGGACACCCGCGTCCATTGCAGCCGCCCCCTATTGTGGCTCGACACCCATACCCAGGTCCATTTCAGGTACAGGCGACGGAAACACACACACGCCCGACACGATTGGTGGTCATGTGGGTCTTTGCCAGTATCAACAGCTCAATCCGCGAGGTCCTTGATTGATGCTGGAATCTTTGAAGGGGGGGTTCTCGCTGTCGTTCTCGTGTCCCGTTGTTTTTCTAAGACGATTGTGTGTGATGGGACTGTCAGCGAGGCTAGGCGACTGCTTCCATGTCTCCAGCTCCAGCTTCTTTTCGTGTGTACGTGTGTGGGTGTGTGTGTGTGTGAAGTGAGCGGATTTCTTTAAACCTCCTCTTCTCTCCCCTGTCTCGCAATCAGTGTGATCAATTGATGTGTTTCTTTTCTCGTTCTGTTTGTGCGAAAAGCACGGCAAAAACAGACACCCACACGTCAGTCTCAGAGGATATCTTTGTCCCCCCTCATTTCGCTGGTGGCCAAAAACTGTGAAAGAGGATGCTCTGCGTGCGATGGTGCTTCCAGAGGTGCAATCGCGAGTTCAGGAGGGATGAGGTCATCACACCAGCGTGTCACCTGCACGCCTTCTGCCGCCTGTAGATCGCCAACCTACACACCAGACGGAGACTTCATCAACAACGCTGCGCCGTGCCCCAAGTGTCCTGGCGTCCTGCTGACTGAAGGTGAGCGCTGAGAATCGACGCACGCACAGCATGCGAAGTACAGAAGGGGTGAAGTGTCTAGGGAGTCCTAGCCGATTGCAATGGCCACATTGCTACCCCAACGTGTGCTCGGCAGCATCAAGCATCAACACCGTGTTTGATGCTGATGTTTGATGTGCCTGTCAATCGACGTCGTTTGGAAGGCATTTGATCGTTCAAACAGTGGATGGGACAGCTGCACATGTGTGTGGGGCATCCGAGGCCTGAGGGAGAGGAAGGGAGACATGCAGACAGACAGACAGACATCGAGTCGCTTTTTTGGCTCTTTCATCGACCAATGATCCGTCTACGCATGCAACAGAAAGACCTTAGAGACGCAGAGGAGTGTCGATGGAGTTCAATCGCACATACACATGTCACATGTATCTTATGTCTCTGCTGCCGGGCGGCTCATTAGATGGTAGCGAAAAGCTCCATTTGCCTGATAAAGAGAGACAAGCATTAGAGCTGATGTTGCTTGGAAAGACATGATGTACCATACGAGATGGTCCTCATCGCGCTTGTTGTATATGTCACATGACTGAGGGGAGGCGTCATTAGGCGTCTCCGACTCCGGCTTACAAATACAAATGCACATAGGGTACATTCATCATCATGCACGGTGCATTTGCTCACATGACAGATGCGGCGTCGAAACATTGAAGAGGACAAAGTAGAGGACACCAAAGTCGTGTCGCTAAATGAGCGGGCCAAAGCAGAAGAAGCGGTGGGACTCCCAGTAGTGACGGGTGTGACAGTGGGAGCCAAGGTTTGGGATAACGGAGACAGAGCTGAAACGTCAGGAACCTTACAAAATGAATGATAACAGGAAATCAGGGGTAGACATCACAGAATTTTGCGTACCGTGTCTCTCACTGAAGCCGCCGGTGCACGCCTAAATTCACAGACAGCAAACAGCATGTGTTAACCGTGAAGAGCATTGTCGTCAAAGCGCGAACCGTGCTAAGAAATCTTCGACGGCTTTCCTCCTAATAGCCTCACGCCGCGCCTTCTCCTCTCTTTTCCTCCTCTCGAGGATGACCCAAAAAGCTGCACCCACAAAAGTTGTATTACAACATCGCCCATCTGGTACTGCAATGTGTCTCTCAGCCTACGGTCACTGTCTCGACGTGTTTCTGCAGCCGTCGCCGCTCGCTGTCTCTCTGCACGCACAAAAAATGATTTTTCCCATTCTCTGACTCCTTATTCTCTGACTCAAATCCGTGCTCTCCATTTCCTAAATGCAGAGGCCAAAAAAGCGAGGACGAAGAGCGCTGAATTCCCTTTCTCTCCCTCTCCTCTCCCCTACCAGGGGCGTAGGTCCAATGCGCCTCAAACTGACATAATCGCCTACATCGGACACTCCAACTGACACCAGAAAGAGACATAGTGGTGTATGAGGGACAAACCTTGTTGCAGCAGCGACAAGTCTTGCACGGGCACGCCTTCTGAATCAAATGCGGCACCTTCTCTTCGGACAAGAAAGAGCCTGTATAGGCTGACATTCACACAACCCGATGAGTGGACGCTATGGAGTGGACGGCAGCAATTGGAAAGCAGTGGAAGGCAGGGGAGTTATTACTTTGGGTCAGGACTCCCCTGCCTTTTCGGCAACAATTCTCCGACTGCCTCGTTGACAGTCCATCCCACATTCAGCGGCACTTCCGTAAAGCATCCGCCGCCCTCAAACTCCACCATAACCTCGATAGTTCTGTCAGACATGAATTGGTGTTCACTGTGGGTTAGAGCCGAATCGGATCAAAACGCTTCACACGTTCTGTCGTCAGCCTGATCTTGATAGATCTCTCCTCCCAGGGCCACTCCATTCCCCCGCGATGAGCGAGGTGCGTATCTGATGTCGATGTTGCGTGGCGGACACTTGTATGACTCTGTGTGCCACTGTTGAGTGTGTGTGTCCGTGTTGCCACGCAGCGAGGAAACGGGAGCCACGACCGAGATGGAGGGGACAGACCAGTGTGCACGTTCTTCCTCAGGGTGAGCACGAAGACCCCCCCAGCTCACATGTCAGTCAGTCAGTCAGTCCTTTCTGTCTGTCAGGGAGCGTGCCGGTTTGGCGAAGAATGTCGGAATCGTCATACCCGCCAGATGAACCGCCATCCGCTGCACAAAACAAGGATGTGCGTGCAATACATCCAGGTATGTTTGTCGGGGAGATGAGGTCCGGGGGAAGGTCAGATTCTCTGTCTGTGATCACCTGCAGGTTGGCAGGTGCCAGTACGCCGGTAGATGCACAAACGCACACAGTAGGCAGGAACTCAGGGGACACCCAACCATGTGCAACCGGATGGACAGAGAAGGTGCGGAATAGGTTCAAGTTGGCAGAGTGATCGTGATGTATGTGTTTGATGGCTGTTTGATGGATGCAGGGAGGCGCGATTGTGACGCACTGTGTCGCTTTGCGCACTCAGACGAGGAGCTGGAGCGCTTCCAAAGCTGGTGAGTCATGTCCCCAGCCACCGTACGAATTGTATATCTTCCTCTCGTCGTCAGGGTGCCACAGCCTGGAGTGCCGGCTGCAGCTGCAGCTGCCGTACCGGCTGCAGCCGCAGCGGCCGCACCGGTAGCTGCAGCAGCTGCCGCGCCTGCGCGTTATGACGGAATGTTTTGTGTGGTAAGGAAATGTAGCCAGCCAGTATGCATTCATGTATACACGTGTGTTGCTCTGGTGCGATGATGGTTCCAGATGTGCTATGGCGAGTTCAGGAGGGATGAGGTCATCATGCCAGCGTGTCACCTGCACGCCTTCTGCCGCCCGTGCATCCGCCATCACATCATGGCCAACACACCAGACGGAGACTTCATCAACAACGCTGCGCCGTGCCCCGAGTGTCCTGGCGTCCTGCTGACTGAAGACGAGCGCATGTTTTGCGTCGGAGCCCAGGAGTGGTTCGACAAGGAGCAAGAGCTGCTGGCTACGGCTCTGCAGAATTTCGGTGAGCGTCGGTTTTCTGAATTCACTGAACTCATGCACATGTGTGTCCCTTTTGCGTGCTGCAGATGACGAACCTGCAGAGCCTTCACAGCCCCGGGAGTTCGAGTGTCCGATATGTCAAGATAGCTGGCACGTTGAAGAATCGACTGAACTGGATTGCGGCCATCGCTTTTGCAAGTGAATAAGGAGAGACACCATTGGGAGACATCCATCGGCTGGTGCATTTTGACTGCAGCGTTTGTTTCGCCCGACATGTGGAGTCAATGGTCAAGGACAGGAAAGTCTCACGTAACTGCCATCTTCATTGTGTGACTCAATGTACCTGTCTGTATGTCTCTGTGTCCGTTGTTCGCAGCGACTGAGCTGAGGTGTCCCGGGTTGGACCCGGAAGGGCGGCCGTGTGCAATGGTAAAGGGAGACAGAAATGGCGGAGGCGCTTGCATCGTTTGTCTGTCGTCTGTGCGTTCAGGAGCTGAGCGTGCCGCAGATAATGGGGGCCCTGTCTGCCGCAGACCAAGAGAAGTTCGATCGATTTCGGTACAAATGCTTGGACGCACCCTCTCTGGAGCAATTACGTCTGTTGTTTGGCTGCAGCTTTGATCAGTGGGAGCCCCTGGACGAAGGCGAGATGAAAGTGTAAGCTTAAAGGACGCGCATTATGAGAGACGAAATGGCTGGAGTGTCCTCTGAATGTGATGCAGCACGTGCCCTGCTCCCAATTGTGCCACGTTCATCATCGACAAGACACTGAAGAAGGTCTGCACTACACAGGCACACTGCTGCGCTGTGTCCATTGATTATCAGGTGAAATATCCGAAATGCAACAAGGAGTTCTGTCCCCACTGCTCGGAGAACGTAACTTAGGAATGGACAGATAACTGCATACCAGCACTGTACGTCTTCATGTAGGCCCATGATGGCACGTGCGAGCAATACCGACAGTGGAAGCTGGAGAACAACCAAGGCGAGCAGGCCTTCAACCGGATTGCGGCACAGCAGAGATGGAAGGTACGGACGAATGGCTGCTTTGAGCTTGGAAGCGATATAAGCCGGTGCATTTTGTGTGCAGAGATGCCCCGAGTGTGGCGTAATGTGCGAGAGAGCAGAATGCTGCAACTTCATGACATGCGTTGTAGGTCACGAAAGCTCGACTGCATTTACTGACAGCAGCTGTGGATGGCTTTGTCGATGCAGTCACCACGATGCGGGCCGCAAGGGGGTACGTACTTCTGCTACATTTGTGGGCAGCGACTCACGCTGGCTGACGTAAGCCCTTCGCGGTCACGTGCACAACTTTCCGGCTATGCATGCGCGTCCACTTTTGCATCTTCCCTCAGAAATCCGCTCATTTCGGCGGCTTTGGCCCCTTTGGCGGCTGTGTCAACGAGCAGAATCCCGGGCAAGGTGCGCCGACTGACGACTCACACGGAGGGCGTCATTGCTGTCACTTTTCGTTTTGTGTCAGCGCGTCCTTATGTCGACCCAAATGCTCCCCTTCAGCTTGGGCAGGCCCCCGCACCGGCGGCAGCTGCAGCGGCTGCAGCGCCTGCAGTGCCACCCCCGGTACCTAAGGAGGGAGGGGAACCATGTCAAGACAATGTCTACTTGCCGGTATGTCTCAGGTTCCATATGGCATGGCCGCACCCGTCGCTGCTCCCGCCCCTGCCATGTTGCCATTCCAACCTAACGTATGCACTTACCTGTGTATCTCTGGGACCTGTAGACGTGTGCTTTTGTCTTTTCAGGTGAACGGGCTCAATTTGGCTGGCTACCTTGGATACCCGGGCCCATTTCAGTAGCTCTTCAACATTTACAACGTAAGCGGGTCCTTGACCCGCAAGGTCCCTAATCTAGCTTCCCCCTTCCCGCGCATGAATGTGTGAGGAGGGCGGGGGTGTAGAGGGAGATCGAAAGAGTATTACTTAAGCCGAAAATGTCTTTGATCGATCTTGTCTTATAACCGCCGCCTTGTGCGAGGGTGTAGTTTGCATAGGGTAGCTCTTTGCTGAAGGCGTCTGTGTGTGCGCATCTGCATGCTTACGTGTGCGTGTGCGCGGATTTTTCAAGTCTGTGTTGTTTTAAATTTCCTCCCCCCTATCTCTTGGTGCTTGAGACACACAGCCCGCAGTCAATCGATCAGTTGACATGCAGGGTCTATTAACACAAACCACACAGAGTGCAGAACCCACACCCGCACGTACATGCACATCACACAGACAGAGATCTTTGCCCATGTAGATAGGACAGAGACATGAGAGACGTGCGTGTGTCTTTTGTCGGCTAGCACATACACGCAAACTACAAAAGGGACAGCACGTGAGCTACAAAGAAGACGGACGGTCCAGACAGTCAACTAGCTACAATTGCAATGGCCAGGTGGCTACGAACATAGTCATGCCAGCATCAAGTATCAGCACTTCATCGATTCTGCCGTTGGCGTATAAGTCCCGGCATCCGATGCGGCATTCACAGTCGACGTCAAGGACTGCTCATACGTGCTCTGCGTGACGGTGTTGGGGTCGGTGAGGGTGCCGCAATAGTCGACGGCGCGCTCCAGCTCAGTGGTGTTGGCCGTGTTAATGAGAATCATCTTAGGATCCTGCCAGCTGTCCCACCACTGCTCTTCCTCGGATTCATAGGCCTCACCGCAGGCCACCATCTGCTCGTAGAGGTCCTCGGCGGCTGCCGAGAGGCGCAGAAGGTTCTCCCCTATCGCCGTGGCTGCATGTAGGAGCACATGAGTGGGTGCCTGCATGGTCTTCTCTCTCCTCTTTGTCTTGGTCACTTACTGTTGGCTCTGCATTCGGTCTCGTTGGAGTGGCCGCTGCACCAGAGTTCACAGGCTCCATTTGACAAACACGTCTTTCCATCGTCCTCGGCGAGATAGTGCTGACAGCATGCCAAAGAGAGAGCGTCTCTCTCTCTGTGTCCGTCGGTCTGCCTGTCCATGTAAGTGGCGTGCATGTCTCACCTCGACGGCGCACTGTCCGGGCAGCATGAACATGCCCAGCAGACGCTTGCAGCCAGAATTGGAGAGGTGGAATAGGCCTGGGTAGCCGAACATGGCCTGCATCACATTCACGGAGAGTCACAAATGAATGTCTCCCTATTCCTTTTCCCAGTCCTTGGCATGAGTGGCATGAGTGGCTGACCACAGGCGAGGCACCGCAGTAGCCACACCACCAGTCGATGTGGAAGCATCCCTTGTCACGGTTGCACAGACTCTGCCACACACACCCATCGCGAGACACTGACATGGAGCTACCCACACGGACACTCGGACCCACTCACCTTGTCGTTGGCCATTGTGTGGCACCGCACTTCTGGGCCGCATGTGCGAAGATCCGAAGGCTCCTCCTTCTTGTACTCTTTCTCCAGCTGGCGTCTCAGGTCCTCTCTCTGCAATTCAACCCACAAAAGAACATCGTCAACCATCCGCCCTGTTCCCCTTCCCGACATGGCCACCGCTTCGCACTCCCAGCCATCGCCGCCATAGCTCTTGTACTCGCAGCCTATCGTGGCGTTGCACTGAGCCGCCGTCAGCCTGCCGCATTCAACCAGGGGGGCGTATTTCTCGCACTTCCCGTCGGTCCCGATTGCCGCGTCTCTCATAGCGCTCCAGCTGATTTCACACTCTTGGTCCGACTCGTCCCAGTGGCACTCGGGTGTCGCGAGGCATGTATCCTTGGTCTGCGCCGTGATGCAGTCCAACCCTGCAAAACAGAACGATCACCACCTTCATTGCTGCTCGTGCTCAGTTTGCTTGGTCGATTGCTTCTCTGTGTACCGGGACCACACGAGTCCACACCGTACAGCTGCACACAATGGGAGCGACAAGAAATGGGCTGTATCTCTCCGTCTCTCTGTGGAAGGGGAATGCTGACCAGCTTCATGGCCACGTCATCCTTCATGTTGCACGAGGTCCCCACCCATTGGCAGTCCCCCGTGCACGATCCCTCCGTCTCAATGTTCGCACACTCCAAGCCTTTCAGCAAGAAATCCTTGGCACTGTCGCTCAGAGCGTTCACGCGACTCGTGAAGTTGGCGGCATCAGGCACGCAAGCCCCGCTCTCGAGGGCCTTGCACCCATTCGCCTGGAGGCACTTGCTGGGTGGCTCGAAGGCGGCGGCGGTCTGTGCCCGTGCGATGGTGTCGGGGAGTGGGTCACTCGAAGTGTCAACTGTCACGGTGCGGGGGTCGATCATGTTGGGGCATTTCTCTTTGAACTGTTGCTCCTGGGTCAGCCAGGTCGCGGTGGTCACCTCTTCTTCGTATGGAGACGTGGCTTGGTCGTCAACTTGAGACTGGCATGCGTCCATTCGGTCGACCATGTCGACTGCAGCACACATAAAGGGAAGGGCCAACGAAGGGAGGAAGGACGTATCCGTGTCATGATGTCTCCGTGCCCTATGGGTGACGTACGTGCTTTGTAGAATTCCTCGCCGAAGAGCATGGGGTACAGATAAGTCTCTGTGGGTGGAGCGGCAATGACAGTGAGCGAGAGGCTGTATTGGGTCATCCATCCATCAGTTGTACTCATTTACCATTGGCCGTGCACGACGAGAGGCCCCCACTGGTCCACTCCTCGCAGAGGAGAGTGCACGCGCCGTCAGCATAGCAAGTCTTCCCCCCATCATTCGCCATAGCACTCTGGTACATGCAGTTCCAGGGCACTGCATGGAAGCCATATTTGGCCTTGCAAGCGTCCGTCGACAAGTCCACAAAGTCAGGATGGGCAACGAGCACCGCCGGGTGTGCGAAGCAGACCCCCAAGCCAGGTGCGTCGGGGCCGAAGGCATACCAGCCGCAGGCGAGGTCCGCCTCGCAGGTCTCCTGGAGCGAGAGGCCGATGTGGCGGCAACGCACGTGAGGGCCGCACATGGAGAGGTCGCTGATGTCATCCATCTCTCGCTCCAGGGCTTCCTCAACCGAGTCCTTCACAGCACACTCGCCATCCTCACCCCAGGCCCGATACTCGCAATCTGGATGGCACATGCACGTAGACATGGAGACATATGTCCCGCAGGCAGGCTCACTTACTTTGGTCCGCGTCGCACTCGGCCTTTGGCAGCGACTCGCAGTAGAAAAGCGGCACAAACTGCTTGCACACGGCTGCCTCGCCCACGAGCTTGTCCTCGTAAGCGCTTGTCCACTCTGCCCTGCAGTCGCCCTCGCCGCTGTCGCTGCCCTCGTGTCCGTGCCACTTGCAGCCCGAAATGGCCTCACACGCGGTTTTGTCATCGTCGCCGTGGATGCCGCAGTCTATGGTGGGCCGACACGTGGCCGGTCCCCAGAACGGGTCGAGGTACTTGTCCGAAGCATCGCGGGCTGACAGCCAACAGGACAAGGGACGACGCACAGAGAGACAGGTCTGTGTTTTTCCCATGCCTGCGGGAATCGGCTTACATTCGTCGTCTTTGTTGTATTCGCAGTCTCCTGTGCTCTCCGGGCAGTCGCGAGAAGTGAAGTGCCGACAATACGCTGTCTGGTTGGCGATCGCGCGGAGGTCAGCACCAGCCAGCATGTCGATCTCCGCCGCGAAGTCAGCTGGCTTGACGACACAATCGCCCCACTGCTTGCTCGTGCCTGTATGGACGCACACACACCGACAAAGTCACGTACACGGCGGGCATGTGGATTCGTTGGCGCTGACTCACAAGGGCTCTGGCAGGGGCCATCATTCGTTGTGGCTTCGGGAGCTTCGGTGGTTGCTGGCGTCGCTGTAGTGGTGGTGGTTGCGTTGCTGCTCTGCAGCTGTCGACGTCTCGTGAAGGGCGCCTTGCCCCTGATCTGCTCCTTAACGGCCTCTGTCAGGTTCAGGACATCCAAGTCCTCGTCAGAGAACTGCAATCGACGTCTCGTGAAGGGCACCCTGCTCCTGATCTGCTCCTTAACGGCCTCTGTCAGGTTAAGCGAATCCAGATACTTGTCAGAGAAGGCTGTCTCCTGCATTCTCCGCCCCAATCCTCCCAGCCTGCTCTTGATGATGTCCTTGACACTCTGCGTCTCGTTCTGTATCGAGAGCAGTGGGTTTGGGCCCTGCGGGATCTGCAGCCTCCTACGTCTGCCATCCGATGACCCCTTCAGCGCGCCCTTGGCGGAATTGACGAGGGCTTTGGTCATGTTGCGAATGCGGCCGAGGGCGTCCTTGGCCGGCGCCGCATCGTTCGCCAAAGTTTGTGGGACCGACAGCCGCCGAGCGCGGCGGCCGTGGCTGTGGGTGTGGGAATGCCCTGCCAGGCGACTCAGGCCGGTGATTTTGGTCTTGATCATGTCCTTGACGGCCTTGGTTGCCTGCAATGAACAAGGACCATTACAGTGCATGTCGCGTGTGTTCTTGTCGTCCTGCTCACATTCCAGATGCTCTCAAGGGGAGCTGCAGTGCCTGAAGGGCCGGTGGTGCTTTGCAGTGAACGGCGGGTGCTGCAGCTGGAGTCAGCGGGACAGACCGCAGTCACAGTGGTGAGCACCACACAAACCAAGAAGACCCTCATTTCTGATGGGGGCGCTTGTTGACGAAATGGACCTCGAGGCCTGTGACTACACACAAGCGTCTGCCCCGCCCGAGCTTGCGGGGTAGGTCGCGTGAAACGGTTTTGTTGAGGCGGCTTTACGCTTCTATTGTTTTTCCTCCTTCGCAAGGTCCCACAGGTAGTCTTGATGCTATTTCTCTCTCATTCTGCCTCGTTCACTCTATAATCGTCTCGACACGTCTCGACTGACTCATCGCCCTCCTCATCGCCAGCCGGCAGATGAACGACGAGAACAGCCCAATCAAAGAGCCACTCAACGACGCAACGGAGGGAAGCAGCAGCGCCCGCCTGCCCATCAGTCGCTCTCGTCGCCTCAGAACGGCTCCCTTATCGACGAAAAGGCTCAGCCGATGAGCGATCCGCCAATAGGACCTCAGGGTGGAGCAGCGAAGGCAAGCAGCGGAGAGCATGATGCGGCAGACGCCAAGCAGCTCGATAGAGAGGCGGCTCGCAGCGTCGTGGAGCGTGTGTTAGAGGTGCTCGTGAGAGAGGCGGTGTGTCACATACACGGCACACACAACACGGAGGAGGCCAGCGATGGTCAGGAGGGGGCGGCTGGTGCTAAACAGCTCGATGGAGATGCCGCCAAGGTCGAGGCGAGTGGCAGTGTGATGGAGCGTGTGTTGATGACGCTCGTGAGAGAGGCCGTCCGCCGCATACACAGCACTGAGGAGGCCAGCAGCGGTGAGGAGGGGGAGCCTGGTGCTAAGCAGCTCGATGGAGTGGCGGTCAAGGTCGAGACGAGCGGCAGCGTGATGGAGCGTGTGTTGGTGGCTTTGGTGAGGGAGGCCGTCCGCCGCATACACAGCACACAAGGCAGCCAGAAGGGACCAGAGGCCGCCGCCCCACCCAAGAAGCACCAGATGAAGCGCAGCCGCTCCTTCGCCGGCCACCCATCGCTCGAGGACAGCGACGCGGCACCTCTGCTGCGGCGCGCCAAGTCGTTCCCGGACCTCGCTGCTTTACTGCAGCAGCACCAAGATCAGGCTAGCGGCGTTGCACACCAGGACACAGCGAGGGCGCTGAGCGGGGCTGCTGCTGCGGGTGATGGTGCTGGTGCGGGTGGTGCTGATGAGCAGCAGCAGGAGGTTGGTGACGGGAGTGGTGATCAGGACGAGGATGAAGAGGCTGACCGGCGGCCTGCTGCCGTGAAGCAAGAGGAAGCGGTGAGGTGAAAGGCGACCCACATGTGTGTCTAGAAGTGCATCTGTGGTGTGTGAGTGATCTATGTGGTCTGGTCAGGATGTGTTCATTCTGGGCGTGTCGTCTAACCGGCTCAAGTTGCTGCGCCTGCCGCTTCGTGTGGGTGCTCGCAAGGAGTATGAGGTGCAGTCGATGATGTCAGCCCACCGGCTCACCCTGCAGGGCACAGGTAAGGAGGCGACTGGCCTGAGATAGATGGTCAGTCACCTTCGTTTGGTGTGTGAGTTCAGTTCTGTCGTGGGACGAGGATGTGGAGGATGGCAAGAGGCTCATCTGCCAGATGGTAGGTAGAGTACCGTACCCAACACGTGTGTAACCTAGCACCCATCCATCCATCCACACACTGAATGGGTGGCCTGGCCTGTCTGTTGCTTTCGTTTCAGCAACGCGCTCCACCCATCCCCGGCCGCCACGAGGACGGCTCCATCGACCCTGACGCAGCTGCCCTCTCCTTCCGTGACCGTCTCGAGGCCTTCCGGTCCGCCGTTGGTGCGACAGGTGACAAGAAGGCGCAAACGACCGCGGATGGCATGGACGGGTCGGGCAACAGCGGCAGCGGTGCGTCTGAGGACAAGAAGGCCGGCGGGGACAACGACAAGGGCGGCAGCAGTGCCAGCAGTGGAGATGAAGGCAAGGGAGAGACGGATGCATCTGCAGCGCCGGGCAACGAATCGCCGTCCTCATCGGACCCTACTCCCTCTCCCCCACCGCCGCCGCCGCAAGTGTACGGCCCCAAGACCCTCTTCGACGCACTCGATTGTCATCCCTTCGGCAGCCTCGCACGCCAGAACTTTGTGTACCAGTACCTAAAAGGTGACCAACACACACACAGACAGCCAGCAGGAACCTAATTCATCCATCCATCCATCCATTCCTTCCCCTTGCGGCGTCTGCCGAGATCAAGATCTGCCCCGAGCCGGTGTATCAGGAGACCAGGTTCGTCAAGCAGGGGCTTGTGAAGGATGGCGAGCTCGGCAGGACCCGTGTGGGTTTCTACGTCAACGAGTGGATGGACGGCACCCTGGAGAGCGTGGTACGCTACGCCCGGCAGTGGGCGGTGGGGCAGATGCCAGGGCAGCCCATCAAGCTGATACTCGAGCTCTATGTCGAAGCGGTATGCACACACACACATGCTGGGAGGGCTGTGTGTCGGCTTCTCACGTCCTCTCTCTTATGCCGCGGGGCGCAGGTCCGTTCATTGCGGGAGCTCCATTCCCACGGACTCGTCCACGAACACGTCAAACCTAGAGTACGCGCGCAGACAATACACACAGACACACACACACACACACACCAACCACGCAACTCTCCTCCCTCCCTCCGTGTGTTCAGAACATGATGCTGAAGTACGGCCACGGCAAGCGTGTGTACCTGGTGGACCTCAAGCAGTGCCGACCTGTCCGCGCCAAGCCGACCGACGACCAGGAGACACTCCGCCACAAGCGGCGAGGGTGCTTCGTGCACTCCTTTGCCCTCGCACCCATCGCAATGCACACATGCGAGCCACCGGCTTTCAAGTGAGTGACTGATTTGGGGGGGGGG